ACTGCTTCCTTCCACCTGAAATTCCAAGCCCTTAAATATATCCTGCCTTTCACTGCAAGGCCTTCACACAAGTGTGTCTGTCCTAAAGTCTGGCACATTTTCCGGCCCCTTCTTCTGGCACACTCCTAGTCATCCTTCTGGCTCCATCTTGGATGTGGTATCCTCATGGAGGTTTCTCCTGACCTTCAATATTGAGACAGGTTTCCTCTTTACATGTGGTCACAGTACGCTGTCATTACTTGTTTCATGTCGGTTTTCTGTAACAGGCTCACTAAGCTCCATGAGGGCAGGAACTAGGCCAGCCTTGCTCACCATCCCTCCCCAAAGCTTCACCTACAACTTGCCGTATCAAAGGAACTGAAAAGTACCTATCCAAAAAGTTTTTCCTCTGCAGGAAGAGAGAGAACAGTGCTTACTCATTTATTATTGTTGATTAGGGGGAGCTTGGGAGCATTTAGATGAAAATAGAAGTAATACTATATGCCAGATACTGACCTCAGAACTTATTTTTATCCTATTTAAGCTTTACTATAACTCTGAAGAGTAGGCATTATTATTCCTAATGTTTTAGATGAGGATGCTGAGGCTTGAAGAAGTAAAGAAACTGGCTCAAAATGACTCAGCAACTAAGCAGCTCAGTGAGGATAAAAAGTTTTGCCCCATTACTGCTTCCCAAGCCTGGTTATTAAACTCTCCCTGGCACATGACAGCACCACAATTGCCAGCAGATCGCAGATAACAAGACAGCTGAGAAATTTTGCTAGATGCCCTTACAGTAAGAAGGGACAGCCGGTACCATGGCATGAAATGAGAATACCCAAATCAGCCAGTCAGGGACAAGGCTACTACAGTAACAGATGCCCAACAAATAGTGATCCTGACCCAACAGAAAAGATTCATTTATCTTTGAGAAACTCTGTTTAATAAGCAAGTATGTGTATATTTTAGAAGATTTTCATTAAAATCAGCTAACTTTTTAACAGTACTTCAGCTATCTGGCCAATTTGTCTCTTCTGAGCACTTTCTTCTCTATCCAGATCAATAAGGCATTTCAGTGCTTCAGACTAGACTGCAGTTTGGCTAAAAATGTTTAGTCTCCTTCCAAAGCTAAAGGAGACAAAGATTCAGCAAGATAGAATCCATTGATAACCAATCTGATTAGGATGCCTTTTTTTTTTTTTTTTTTTTGTGAAACTGATGGGTATTGATTCATTTACAACCAATTAGAAGCCTTTTGCCTGGGAAAAATCACCCTTTTTCTGGCAGAAATGAACCTCATAAAACAGGTGGAAACAAATGTTGTAAATTGTGTGACTGGTCTCCACAATATTTAAGATAATGCCTCATGATTCTAATTTCTGCCCTGGCATTTCTTGTTTTTTGCAGCTATACCTTCACTCACTTAGTAGTTTTTCCTAAGCCCCATATTTCTGGTGAGCACCTTGTCTCATGAACAAAAAATGTTGCTTTTACAATACAGCTATATCATAAACTTCAAACAATCATCATTGTCTTCTAATTGTCTGTGAGAATACGTTAAGAAAAGTTTTATTGCCAAATGCGGTGGCTCACACCTGAAAGCCTGGCACTTTGGGAGGTCAAGGTGAGTGGATCACCTGAGGTCAGCTGTTCAAGACCAGCCTGGCCAACATGGTGGAACCCTGTCTCTACTAGAAATGCAAAAATTAGCTGGGTATGGTAGTGCACCCCTGTAATCCCAGCTACTTGGGAGACTGAGACACAAGAATTGCTTGAACCTGGGAGGCAGAGGTTGCAGTGAGCTGAGATTGCGCCACTGCACTCCAGCCTGGGCAACAGAGCAAGATGGTCTCAAAAAAATAAAAAGAAAAGAAAAGAAAAGTTGTATGATGTATTATTAAAATGTCTGCTATTATAATAAGGTGAATGTGTCCAGTGACCAATAGTTGTAAGGTCAGGATTTATACAGAATATAAAAATGATTTATCTATTATCACCCATCTCATGCTCTCATCTGCAGATACAGCCTGGGGAATGTGTGCCCTCTCAAAGCTTCATATATGATCTTCTCAAAACAGGGGAAAAATCACCTTATTTAGGTATCTCTTTACAGTATCTCAGATAGAAGGAATTATTTTAATTACTTTTTTTTTGAGGAACTGATTATTTTTATAAAGAAATCGCTTTACCTCATAACTACTTCAATCAATGCTAGTTCATAGAAGATATCTAACTGAATTAATAAGAAACTTTTTTTAAAAAATTAAAATTTTAGCACAATTTGTCACTGTTCTTGGGGGATGACCTCCCGACTGCAAGCGTTGGATGTTGCTGCAAATAAGCCTTTTTAAAAACTGCTAAACACACACACACACACACACAGAGTGAATGACTTCGTTGCATGCAGAGATCATGTTTATGAAACTGTGGCTTAGTATAGAATTTCCAGGGGGAGCATATAATATACATGCACTTCAAAAAATACGTAAATCAAACAATGCAGATGAGAGAAAAAATTACATGCTCTGGCAAACTGTGATAACAACTATTAAAGTGGCTCTGATGATGGCAAAGACACCAATGGCAAATATGTTTATAAAAAACATGACCAATATTGTTTTATGAAATGTGAAAGTGAACAAAATATTATTTCCACATTAGCATTGTTTATATGATGCACTGCAAATGTTATCATAAATACATAAATACCATGAATAGACAACCGGCTTTCTTCTCTATTAGCCCAAAAGTTTATATATATATTCAATTTACTTCCCATATTGGTATCTTTTCATTGGTAAAATGAATGATCATCGTTTTTTTTTTTGAGAGCAGAGTATTTATCATTTTTCTTTAACTGTTGTATTTCCACTGTGTAATGGACTGCCTGGAAGATAACAATTGCTTCAAAAATATTTAATTAATATACAAAATAATTAGACACCATTAGTACATAAAAAGCAGGGGTACTAGACATATCCCCAAATCCACAAACATGTTAAAACATCCTTGTTAACAAATACACTTTGAGATTCCTGAAACTAATAAAATATTTAGACTATTTTGAACCAATATTAGAGGTCATCTAATCCAATCTCTTTATTTTACAGATGAGGAAATCACAGTTAGAACAATTAAATGCATTTCTTCAAGAGGGCTGGGATTAGAACCTTGAGCTTTCCATTAGATAGTATTATTGAGTTGCTTTATTTGTGAGGTTCATCCCAGCCTCTGATTTACACTTCATGATGAAAGCAAGCAGCGTCTCTTGCCTGAGAACAGTTTCTGTTAAGCAAGGTAAACACACATTAATTGAGCCTGAATAGCTGATGGACTGAGAGAGAAATGCAGAGTTTGTGATACAAAATCCAAGCAGATGCCCTTTCTGAGTTTTCGTTATTTGTTAAAGAAGTTGGGCATCTAATCCCATAGAAATGTATTTACCGTTTTGATTTTGATAAGCTCTCAATCATTATGGGTCTTGGTTCAGCTGACAGCCCTAGACACTGTGAGGCAGAAAAACACTCCAGAGGTGCAGCAATGCTGTTTTAGACCTTCACACAGCAAACCATGCATTTGTACCCAAGAAAAAATCAGTATAAGGGTCTCTCTTTCCTTGCATGATGTATTCTTTTATTAAAATAATCACTGCGTATCTCCAATAGAGATTCATGAACAGAAATCTTTATGTCACACTAACAATCCAAGAAGAAAAATCCTAATGGTTGAGTTTTTTTTTTTAATCCATTTGAATGCTGCTAACTTATTATTAAAATACACAAAAATTTTTCCCATTCTTGCTGCTTTTCATTTTGTCTGTTATTTTCCTCACTCATACTAAAATCCTCAGTGTAACTTAAACCCTCCTAGATTAATTAACTGTGTTAAATTTTCAAACAGTCCTCAGGGTAGATCATGTATAAGTACCTAGGCTACCATATACACGAAGCACACACATACCTTTACAATCCTTTAAGGAAGGATTCCATGATTTCTAATACACTACCAATAACTTATATGCTTCACTTACTAAGTACCAGATATTCTTCCAAACACTTACATCAACTTTTATAATCTTCCTAACAACCTGGTACTATTATCATTTCCTTTGTGCAGATAAGGAAATTGGAGCTCAGAGATATTAACTTACTAAGAATCAAATACAACAAGTAAGTGGTGGAGCTAAGATTTAAACACAGGTAGTCTGGCTCCAGAGTTTGTGCTGTTAAATATTTTGCTATCCTTCTATAGTTTGGTTTTAAATTGCTGTTTTTACTCATATTGTGGACTGTTCATCCTTTGCTCTTTCTTTCCTTAACAAAGCATTTTCTCAGTATTCTAATCTTGTAATTAAGGTGATTGTTTATATTTTATGTAAGTTATTTCTATTATTAAGTAAAATAATCTGTGTGCTATAGAAAACATCAAGATTCAGATTGAATTCCCATTCAAGGGGCTCATGATATAGACAAATGAGGAATTTCTCTAGATCCCCATGGAGTTTGTGGCATGATGAGTTTGTGGACTGTTTGAACACCAAAGGCTTTTTTTTTTTTCAAGTATCAAGGATGAATTAAATAATAAAAGATGACGTGGCATGAATTACAGTATCTGAATTCATTTCTCTAACTCGTGTGTTTGTGGGCCCAAGGTTGAAAGCAATTAGGTGTGAATTATTACACCATCTTCCATGCCCTGACGGTTTTATGATGAATATAAAATTTTATTATTAATGGTTCACTGTTTTTGGAGGAGTTGTTAATTTAAACGTATATATTTATATTGTTAATTAATGAATAGGACAAAAATAGTTGGGTAAAATCTTTCCTAAGAGCAGAAGCTATCTAAGAGTGGAGAAGACCTCACTGACAGCAGGGGCTGTGGCTGAATCGTGACCCCAGGGAGAGGCAGTATGCTGCAGTTCCACCAGGGATACCCGGGTTATTACAGTGGTGTGATGCCTTACAGACTACCTTGTTCAATTTCTTTGTCTTAAATGTCAGAAAAAATAAGTGACTTGCCTGGGATCACACCATAAGTTAATAGCAGAGCCAAGTTGGCTCAGTCAAAGACACTTGGATCCTGACTCTCAGTGTGCAATGCTTCTCATTTTAAACAATTTAGAAAGATGTCATTGAGTACTTAGGAAGAAATAAATAAAATTGTTAGAAACACGAAGACAAAAATCATAAAAAGGAAAACAATAGTTACTATTTAATTGGGCTACTCTAAATGTCAAAATATGGCTTGATTGTGAAATACTTTCCTAAGAATGCATTTTCTAGTGCGTTCTTGTGTTGGAACCACATTCATGTGTTGGAACCACAACTAGACAAGCCAGCTGATTCCAGACACCATGTGTGTAATGACTAGCAGGAGCTCAGGCAATAGCCACACATAATTTCCACCTGTGGGCCTCCTCTTGCCATGATTTTCAACTCCTCTCCATCCCTCATCCCCAAATTCTCTCTTCCTCTTGCTCACTGAAGGGTAAAGATATTTTCTTGGACAACTTCAGTCAAAAAGGAGTAATTGAAAACCAATTGAATTTTTCCCTGGGTTAGGCAAGAGAGAGGAAGTGTAGTGCTTGGTAACTAAGTTTGTTATCAAATAAATTGGTGCTGGAAGCAACCATGTAGAACTGCTGGTACATTGAGCAGAAGTCTATCTTTCTAACTAGTAAAGCTGAGTCTCATCTCTGTCGGGATTCTCCAGGGGGTCGTAGGCAAGTGGCCAAAATGAATTTTACTTTGAGAACATAGGTGTATGAGTGTCTATTTTTTCCTTCTCTTAAGGACTCTAAATGTGTGCCAGGTGAAGCCATGCCAACAGTCATGATCAGTTTGACCTAACTGAGCAGTGATTGACAGTACCCTCCAATTCAGCTCTTACTTGTTTCTGATTGAGTTATTGCTGGAGCTCCTGGAAGCCTAACCTGAATCTTCTCAGCTTACTATTGCAGTCTCTTAATCAGAGACAGAAACAGCTCATAAGAGAATAAAAGCATTTTCTAAAAATGAACATACTTTACTTCAAGTTCTGCATTGTACTCTGTTGCTATTGGAAATAAGTTCACTCACTTGGACAATGGCATCATCCAAATCCCTTCTTTCTAGAAGGCCAAGGGCTCTCTCTAGCCCATCTAAATCCAGTGTAATATTATTTCTGTAACATTAGATTGCTTTATGTGAGTTCTATAAATACCATGGATAATTACAAAATTGAGCAAATCACTCTATTAGGCAATGCCCTCCCTCAAATAATTCTATAAAAGAAGCAATGTTTTGTGATGTCTCTCTTTCTTCTCTCTAGCACCCATTCCTATGCTGAGTTGGGGGAATGACTATTGAATTACGATTGAGTTTCAAAACCTGAAACTCTTGTATCATGTCAAATATTCCAAAGATGTCTCTACTCACTCCATCAAATAAAACTCCAACACTTCATATTCCCAATACACAAAATTGCCAATAATCGGTGGCTGGCAAGATGGCCAAATAGGAACAGCTCCAGTCTGCAGTTTCCAGCAAGGTCAATGCAGGGGGTGGGTGATTTCTGCATTTAACTGAGGTACCTGGCTCATCTCACTGGGACTGGTTAGACAGTGGGTACAGCCCATGGAGTCCGAGTCAAAGCAGGGTGGGGTGTCACTTCACCCAGGAAGCGCAAGGGGTCAGGGAATGCCCTCATCGAGCCAAGGGAAGCCATGAGGGACTGTGCTGTAAGGAATGGTGCACTCCAGCCCAGACACCACACTTCCTCCATGGTCTTCACAACCCATGGACCAAGATATTACCTCTGGTGCCTATGCCACTAGGGCCCTGGGTTTCAAACACAAAACTGGGTGGCTATTTGGGCAGACACTGAGCTAGCTGCAGGAGTTGTTTTTTCATATCCCAGTGTCACCTGAAATGCCGGCAAGACAGAACCGTTCATTCCTCTGGAAAGGGGCTGAAGCCGGGGAGCCAACTGGTTTAGCTCAGCAGATCCCACCCCCATGGAGCCCAGCAAGCTAAGATCCACTGGCTTGAAATTCTCGCTGCCAGCACAGCAGTCTGAAGTTGACCTGGGATGCTGGATCTTGGTGGGAGGAGGGGTGTCTACCATTACTGAGGCCTGATTATGTGGTTTTCTCTTAACAGTGTAAACAAAGCCACCAGGAAGTTCAAAGTAGGTGGAGCCAATGGCAGCTGGCAAAGACGCTGTAGACAGACTGCCTCTCTAAATTCCTCCTCTCTGGGCAGGGCATCTCTGAAAGAAAGTCAGCAGCTCCAGTCAGGGGGTTATAGGTAAAACTCCCATCTCCCTGGAACAGAGCACCTGGGGGAAGAGGCAACTGTGAGCACAGCTTCAGCAGACTTCAACATTCCTGTCTGCTAGTTCTGAAGAGAGCAGTGGACCTCCCAGGACAGTGCTCGAGTTCTGCTAGATGACAGATTGCCTCCTCAAGTGGACCCCTGACCCCTGTGCCTCCTGACTGGGAAACACCTCCTAGGAGCAGTTAACGGACACCTCATACAGGAGAGCTCTGGCTGGCATCTGGCAAGTGGCCCCCTGGGATGAAGCTTCCAGAGGAAGGAACAGGCAGCAATCTTTGCTGTTCTGCAGCCTCCACTGGTGATACCCAGGCAAATGGGGTCTGGAGTGGACCTTCAGAAAACTCCAGCAGACCTGCAGCAGAGGGTCCTGACTGTCAGAAGGAAAACTAACAAACAGAAAGGAATAGCATCAACATCAAGAAAAAGGATGTCCCCACAAAAACCCCATCCAAAGGTCACCAATATCAAAGACCAAAGGTAGATAAATCCATGAAGATGAGGAAAAGCCAGTGCAAAAAGGCTAAAAATTCCAAAAACCAGAATGCTTCCTCTCCTCCAAAAAATCACAGCTACTCACCAGCAATGAAACAAAACTAGATGGATAATGAGTCTGATGAATTGACAGGCTTCAGAAGGTGGATAATAAAAACTTCTCTGAGCTAAAGGAGCATGTTCTACCCCAATGTAAGGAA